GAGAGAGAGAGAGAGAGAGAGAGAGAGAGAGAGAGAACATGTATGATGCTGGGTTGTGGAAATATTAGCAGTTCCTCTACCACTGGACCATATTCAGACCCCTTTGTTTTCTCTTTATTGAGCCAAGGTCTCCATAAACCATCTAGCTGGCCTTGAACTCACTCTGTAGCCTAGGCAAGCCTCAAACTTCTCATCATCAGCACCAGGAGGACTGATCCCAGCATTTTGTACATGCTCAGCAAGTAGTATACCAACCAAGCTCCAGCCCAGCCCCTGGTTTGGCTCTTTTGTTTTTGTTTTTTTATTAATTACACTTATGATATTAATCACATTTGTGGTATTCATAGATTACATTCCCAGTATTCATTCAATTTTATATATATATATATATATATATATATATAATTTTAAATGCCAAATGTCATTTATTGAAGGAGGGAGGGGGTCTTAAATACAGGCTTACAGCACAATGGGAGGACCCCGGAGGGCAGAAGTTTGCTACTGATGTTTTACAATCTTGCATCTAAGCTGTTAATGCCCATTATTCAGGATACACAGACAAGGAACTTCCCTTAAGCATTCAGGAGGGTGGAACCCGGCAGGGAATTAGCATAGGGAGAATATCAAGGTCAAGGTCAGCAAGCAAGGCAACAGTTACCCAAAACGGGGGCCAGGGCCCTGCAGGTCCCCCTTTTATTAAAAAATGAGCTTTTGACTTGGGTTGCATGGTACGTCAGCAGGTCACCTTAACTGTCATGGATTGTTTTTGTTTTTAAGAGATTTATTTATTATGTATACAGGGTTCTGTCTGCATATATGTCTGAACACCAGAAGAGGGCACCAGATCTTATTATGGATAGCTGTGAGCCACCATGTAGTTGCTGGGAATTGAACTCAGGACCTCTGGAAGAGTATCCAGTACTCTTAACTGCTGAGCCATCTCTCCAGCTCTGGTTTGGCTTTTTAAGACAACCCCCAGGTTGGCCTTGAATTTACAAACTTCCTTCCATACCTACTGGGATTAAACAGCCACTCCCTAGCTCTTACAAAGACCTTTGTGGTAAAGTCTTATCTGCAAGATCCAGGGGACTCTCCTTCAAGATCCTTAACTCCATCAGACCTACAAAGTCTCTTTTGTCATTAAAAAGGTAACAGTGGAGGTTTTTAGGACTGAGAATGTAGATGGTCTTGAGGGCTATTAACTCATCACAGAGACTAAAGATACATTCTGTGAGCTCCCAGAAAAGCAGACATTGCAGCTACAGGAGGCAAGGTGGTGCTGTGTTTACAAGGGCAGCAGATGAGACCAAGGTCTTTCTGAGGATGGGGAACGGGTGAACAGAGCAGAGTCCTAGGAAAAATGAAACTTGATTCAGAATACATTCACTGGGGGGCTGGTGAGATGGCTCAACCACCAAGCCTGACCTGAGTACAACCCCTGGGACCCATGGTGTGGAAGGAGGGAACCACCTCTTTAAGGTTGTCCATTGACCTCCATACAGGCAGGCATCCTGGAATGCACACAGTCATACACATACACAGACACACAGAATAAGTTAAAGTATAATGAAAGTATATACATTGTAACCCCAACCACAACGGTTTCAAGAACCCAGTATCTCTAAGTGTCTCAAAATATATATTGTAAGATTTTGAAGCAGTTGCTATGGGAATCTCTCCTGATGAGCACTTTAGCTATCCCACACAGCAGGGACAGCCTACAGTCTGCCCACGGGTTCATCTTGGTCTTCCTCCAGTTTTAACTTCAAAGTTCTGGGGAGATTTGGGATTTGTATGCCTTAAGATTATGAGGAGGGCCAGCAGTGGTGGCGCATGCCTTAAATCTCAGCACTCGGGAGGGAGAGGCAGGAAGATCTCTGAGTTCAAGGCCAGCCTGGTCTACAGAGTGAGTTCTAGGACAGCCAGGGCTACACAGAGAAACCTGTCTCAAAAACACATAAACCAGAAACAAACAAACAAACAAATAAAAGTGAGTAGGAACAAAAGCCATTTACTGGCTGTAAGGATTATGTTCTTATTATGTCACCAGCCTGCTACAGCGTCCCAGCCTAAAAAGCGGGTGTGCCCTCTCTGTGCTCTCTCTTTCTGCACTCTCTCCTTCCGTATTCTCTCCCCTCCGCACGGTCTCGGTCTCTCTCTCTCTCTCTCTGTTCCTCTCTCCCAATAAAGCTCTAGAAAGGTAACCATTGCTCGTGATTCTTCCACGACCGCAACATCCAGTAGTTGGCCATGAGCGCTGCCGCTTAACCATCGCTGGCCATTTCTTGCACACATTTGTGGAGGCCAGAGACGGTCATTGTGTGTCTTCCTCAGACCCTCCCCTTACTCTTTCTGAGGCTGGGTGGGTCTCTCATGGAACTGTGAGCATGACTGGCTGGCTAGCAGACCCCAAGGATCCTCTTACATCTCCCTCATCAGAACTCAGATTACAGGCACACACTTCTGTGCCTGGCTTTACAGGGTGCTGGGGACTTACCTCAGGTCTTCATGCTGCACCTGCTCACTGACTGGCTCTCCCTAGCCTGCCCTGGATTTCTCTCTTCTTCCTGGCTCTCAACAGGACTGGCAAAGTAAGACTTTTGCTTAAACGTTAGCCTGCCAGGCACCAAAGCTTGCTGTTTTATAGGCTTTTGTTTCTTTGTTTTGTTTTTGTTTATTTTAGACAGAGTTTCTCTGTGTAGCAGCCCTGGCTGTCCTGGAACTCACTCTGTAGATCAGGCTACTAGACTAGACCTGGAACTCACAGAGATCTGCCTGCCTCTGCCTCCCAAGTGTTGGGATTAAAGGCGTGCGCCACCACCACCTGGCTCTTAGGTATTTTTTTAAATTAAATTTTTATTATTTAGTTATTTTTGAGACAGGGTCTCACTACATAGTCATGGCTGACCTGGAACTCTTGATGTGAATCAGTGAATCCTGCCTACAGAGAACATGTGAAAATAACTAAGGTTGCCAAGCACGTGGTGACGATCATGTGTGCCATTTCAGGATGGGCCATTTCAGGATCAGCAGGGGCTGCTCGCTAGACCACAAGTTCCACTTCTGGTCACCCTGGTCCATAAGTGTTAGGGAATGAATGCTTTTTAGATGGACTATAAAAGAATAGCTCCAGGAGCCAGGAAAACCACCCTTGGGCATCATTTTCCACCCAGCACACTGGCAGAGCTCAACAACGTGGGCACTGACATACAGTTTAGGTGGGAAGAGGCTGAAAGAACAAAATACACCCTCTCCATGTGCTGTGTGGACTCTAAGCTGGGGAAGCATACAACAGCAACAGGTAGACAGAGCATGAAGATGTGCTTCCCAAACCAGGAATTTATCTGCTTCACTTAGGTCAGTGTCATCCTGGGAAAAAATATTTTAAGTATCCACAATGCACACAATAAATTATGAAGATCCAAATACCAAGATATGGAACAGTGGTAAATATGAGAGATGTTCTCTGGAACCCCACCCAGTGACACTGCCCAGGACCCCTGTTTGTTTACCCCTCTTGAGGCCTTCCAACCATCACTGATCACTTGTTCCAGCTCTTCCCAGGTGACCATGGTGATTTCTTCAGTACCCGGAGCAAGATTCAGCCTCCGACTTAATTGATCCTGTCAGTAACAGATCAGGACACAGACACACACATCTGTTAAGTATGAATGCACATACACACTGGCCCTGCAGATCTGACCCACAGGCTTGGGTGGGTGCTACCAACAGCACCAGCCCCGGGAAGATTCACTGCCTGGCCGGTTTGTCTCACACCAACTCTGAGCAGAGATGGCAGGGACTCACCCCTCTATCTGGAAGTGGTGCCTCTTGGGGCAGGTACCTGTACCCCCTATCCCCAAAGAATACAGATGCTGGCGGGGGTGGGAGTTGGGACCATCTCTAGAGAGAAGCTAGGCTGAAGAGCAGCCCTCCCCCGCCCACGGGGCCTTTCCCCAGGGCTTGTCCATATTACCAGATACTCCTCACGGTCTTTGACCACCCTCTCCAGTTCATTAACACGCTGAAGGAGCTCCTGGAAACAGTTTGGAGATGGACCATCACTCAGCCACCCTGTCTGCGCGCACACACACACACACACACACACACACACACACACACACACGCACACGCACAAGAGCAAGAACACACGTACACGAGCGTGCATGCACACTGCCTTAGTGCAAGGGAGAGAAGGAAATGAGGTCTGTGTGGCTCCTAGTGAAGGGTTTTCTAGCTCCTACCTAGTCTTACCCGGCAGGTCAAGCCAGGTTCCCAGTTCTCTTCCTGGTCCCTGGGAAGGAGGAAGTGGACTGCAGTGGTCATAGTAGTAATAGGGTACAGTGTGCCCAGTCAGCGTTCGTGTGGGGTGAGGCTGCTGGCCCTAGCTTCACCTCACACTACCCACTACCAAAAGCTTCTAGCCCTATGAGCACAAGGCCCACCTTGTCTCTCCAAAATCAAGTGCCTGGTCCCTCAGCATCCTGGCAGCCTGAGCCACGGGAGGAGAAAGGCCCTCAAGGGTCCCAGCCAGTGACCAGCACTTCAGTCCTTCTCTGCCACCTTTACTGACTGACCTCCAGGGCCTGAGACTAGATTCCAAACTCAAAAGTTTGAAAAAGGCTGGGCATGGTGTTGCATGCCTGTTATCCCAGTCCTTGGTGTGTGTGTGGGGGGGGAGGGGGCGGTTAGAAGGGTCAGGAGGTCACTATCAGCCTTGGCTACACAGTTACATTCAAGGCCAGATGGACGACAAGGAGACCTTGTTTCAAAAAAAAAAAAAAGCAGGGCAGTGGTGGTGCCTGCCTTTAATCCCAGGCAATCTGGTCTACACAGAGAACTCCAGGACAGCCAGGGCTACACAGAGAAACCCTGTCTCTGAAAAAACTTTTTTTCCCTAAAAACAGAGAAAATGGGATTTTCTTCCCAGAGCCAAGATGAGGGGTGGGGGGTCCCCTGGACTGTGCAATGCCCAGGCCGGGATAAAAGCTAAGAGACCACCCCGCAGGGCATGGCCTCCTCTGGCCTGTCTTGCATCCATTTCTTTATCCGATCTCTCCACCCTTTCTTCCTGATGGCCCCACCCCTTCACTCAGGGCCACCTGTAACCCTTGACCTAATCTGTGTTAGAAGTTGAGCCTAGCAGTGTTCAACTAGAGCTGATTAGTTGTGTGCCCCCTGGTGCTCACAGGACGGAGTCACCGGGATAAACTTCCCCCTCAGGAAAATCCAAGGCCAAGTCCAAGTGTCCCCAGCTGCTGTACCTTCCATCTGTAACTATGGGACACTGGTGTCTGACTTCCTCCCCTCACCCAGGATGGACCCTTGGGTCTCAGTATACACTACCTGATTTCTTTATTCTCTCTGTAGGGGGTGGAGGCGGCTCTGAGTACGTGGAGTCCTGAATGAATGTGTGCTATTGTGTGTGACGTACCCCAGAGCCTTAGAACCAGAGAGGAATGGCAGCCACCCCCGACCCCCATCAGGCTCGGGGCAATCGGGGGTGTGTTCACAGTATGTGCAGAAAACACCCACTGTAGCACGCCTCCTCGCTGGATATTTACACACTGAAGGCTGCTGCCCTACAGACTGCTCCATCTGAGACTGACTAAAGCTGTTTGTCTGTGTACAGTAACTCCTTGCTCAGCTGAACTTTGGGGCATGGTGATTTCTGCTCCTGAGAGCCTGGACCACTCAGTCCCAGCTTTCTCCCCCCGCCCCCACTCCCACCCTCTCTGTGTGTTGTGTGGCCCAGCGCTCCTCCACTCCCCAGGCGACTGGCCTGGCCTTGAACTTGCCGCAATCCTCAATTCTCAGCCTCCCAAGTGCTCTTGGGAATTAAAGGCAGTAACCACCATTCCTTATTCACTTTTTATTAATTTGCTTTGTGCGATGGTTTGAATAAGAATGATCCCCATAGGCTCATATATTTAAATGTTTAGGGAGTAGTACTATTTAAGAAGGACTAGGGGCTGGAGAGATGGCTCAGCGGTTAAGAGCACTGGCTGCTTTTCCAGAGGACCTGAGTTCAATTCCCAGCAACCACATGGTGGCTCACAGCCATCTGTGATGAGATCTGGCGCCCTCTTCTGTGTACATAATAAATAAATAAATCTTTAAAAAAAAAAAAAGCACTAGGAGGTGTGGCCTTGCCGAGGAAGTGTGTCACTGAGGGTAGGCTCTGAGCTCAAGCCAAGCCCGATGTCTCTTCTGCTGCCCGGGGAGCTGGCTGTAGAGCTTTCAGCTACTTCTCCTGCGTCATGTTCTGCCTGTGTGCCTCCATGTGCCCCACCAAAACAATGGACCGAACCTCTGAAACTGTAAGCAAGCCCAAAGATTAAATGCTTTCTTTTCTCCCCATTTTTTTAAAGCCTGGCATGATCAGACACCAGCCGGCCTGGGAATTGAACCTGGGTCCTCTGGAACATCAGTCAGTGCTCCTAACCACTGAGCCATCTCTTTCCTCAAATGCTTTCTTTTATAAGGAAGTCATGGTGTCTCTTCACAGCAACAGAACACTGACTAAAACACATTGTTTACTTTGACACAGGGTCTCACTGTGTATCCCTGGAATAGCTCTGTAGACCAGGCTAGCCTCAAACTCAAGATCTGCCTGACTCTGCTTCCCAAGTGCTGGGATTAAAGGAACCACCCCAACAGAATAGGCTCTCTCTCTCTCTCTCTCTCTCTCTCTCTCTCTCTCTCTCTCTCTCTCTCTCTATGTTTTGAGACAGGGTTTCTCTGTGTATCCCTGGCTGTCCTAGAACTCACTTTGTAGACCAGGCTAGCCTTGAACTCACAGAGGCCACCTGTCTCTGCCTCTTGAGTGCTGGGATTAAAGGTGTGCACCACTATCACCCAGTTTATTTTTTTAATAGGGAATTATGTTCCTTTTTAAAAATGATTTTTCTTTTAATTTTTTTCATTTTATTTTTATGTGCATTGGTGTTTTGCCTGCATGTATGTCTGTGTGAGGATATTGGATCCTGGAACTGGCATTATAGACAGTTGTGAACTGTCATATGGGTGCTGGGAATTGAACTCAGGTCCTTTGGAAGAGCAGCCAGGCTCTTAACTGCTGAGCCATCTTTCCAGCCCTTATAGTCTCCATTTTAATTAAAGGAGAATTCATTTTAAGAGTATTCTGTGATGTCAGCTACCCTCTATGTCAGTGCTAGGTCAGTTTAGGTTTTATAGGTATCTTGATAATTTTTTAAAGATTTATTTTTATTTTATGTGCATGTATGTCTGTGTGAGGGTGCCAGAGCCCCTGGAATTGGAGTTACAGACAGTTGTGAGCCACCATGTGGGTGCTGAGAATTGAACCCAGGTCCTCTGGAAGAGCAGCCTGTTTTAACCTCTGAACCAGGTCTCCAACCTTGATAGGTTATTAATGGCCCTAGGAAGCAGGGGGTGGGACTGCAGAGGCGGCTCAGCAAGTCAGAGCACTGGCTGCTTTGTGGTTCGTTTGTTTTTTTCCAGATTTATTTATTTACTATGTACACAGTGTTCTGCCTGCATGTATGCATGAAGGCCAGAAGAGGGCACCAGATCTCATCACAGATGGTTGTGAGCCTCCATGTGGTTGCTGGGAATTGAACTCAGGACCTTTAGAAGAGAACACTAGCTGCTTTTGTAGAGGACCAAGGTATGGTTCCTTGTACCTACACGGTTGCTCACGATATCTGTAATTCCAGTTCCAGGAATCCGACGCCCTCTTCTAGACTCCTCAGGCAGTACATGTATGTGGGTGTACATACAGGCAAGCAAAACACTCATACACATAAAAATAAAAATAAATCACACACAATAAAAATGAACCAGGCAGTGGTGGCACACGCCTTTCATTTCAGCATTCAGGAGGCAGAGGCAGGCGGATCTCTGTGAGTTCAAAGCCAGCCTGGTCTACAGAGTGAGTTCCAGGACAGCCAGGACTACAGAGTGAAACCCTGTCTCAAAAATCAAACAAAAACAAAAAGAAAAAACACACAAACAAACAAATAAACAAACAGAAAAGACATGAAAAAGGAGGGGAGTGTGGCAAAGGACCACCCCACTTGTGAGGTGTGGTCCCTAGGATGCCCTCACCTGGGCACTCAGTTCAGCCTGCACCTTCCGGTGGGCTTCTTTCAGGACTTTTATGTCTTCTACGATGTCTTGGAGCACATTCATGGGCTGCAAGAGAGAGTAGGAGCTGTGTGAGGCCAGACCTAGCACACGCCTTCCCAGCTTAGGGACTGGGTATCCTGGAGGAGCCTCTGTAGGTCAGTGTACCCACCTTGGATGGGCTGATATCTTTCTGAGTCTTTGAGAGCCTTGATTGTGTCACCTGGGGGGACACCCCAAGTGTGGCCTCAGGCTTCTCCTGTATCTCTATGGCTTCGTAGATCCGGGTGGACTTTGTCGGAGATATCTGTGGGGATATCTGTGAGGATATACGTGGAGATGTCTGTGGGGATGCCTGTGGGGGCACCAGAGTCATCTCCTCTTCCAGCCTTTGGAACTCCGGGTAGAGGTCAGAGACTCCGGAGATGTGCTCCATGTGTGTGGCAATGCCCTGCACTTTGTTGTCCATGTTCTTAATCTGCTGGCTGAGGTCCAGTACCTGGGTGCCCAGGTCCTTCACCTGGCTCTCCAGCGTCTGCGGAGGCAGGGACGGTCTGGACAGACTCCGGCGCCTCTCTTTGCTGCTTGACACATGCGGGGTGCTAAGGGAGCTTCGGACCACATCAAGGGAGCGGCCAGACTCAGCCGACGGGGAGTGGAAGTCAATAAGTACCCCTTGGAGGTTGAGGCTCTTGAGCATGGCCACTATCAGTGTGTGCAGGGCCGTGAAGTTCACCGCTCCCACTTCCGGAGTGCCGATTGCCAGGTCGGCCAGCTCCCGGAGGGAGACTCTGTTGGTCGCTAACGACGGCGGCATCGTGGGCTCTGTTGGGATCCGTGGGAGGCTCAGGGAGGAAGGGCGACCAGGCGCCCCCCGCTCCTCGCAGGTCTACCGGGCCATCGGGCTCTCAGCAGTGACTCGGCTTGTGGGTTTGTGGCCTCCAAGCTGGAGCCCTGGGCTCCGCTCTCCTCGTCCTGCTCTCGGCCAGTGGACGTTTGGAACGAGGGCGCACGGTTTGCCGCCCCGCGTTGCTGAGGCGCGGGACTACGGAGATTCTAAGAACGCAGGCTGGGGTCAGCCCTTACTGGGACCATACTTTAAAACTACAGGGGAGGTTTTGGCAGCACCCCAGGGTGCCTCCAGTTTTTCAGTATGCTCCCAAGGAAAGGGCAATGGGACTGGGCCAAGAGCATCTGTTTGCATTACGGACAGGCCGGTTTGGGAGGACAGGCTGCGGTGGCCTTCTGTGGGTCCACCAGACTGCAGCCCAACACAGGAAGCCAGATCCACGTGCTCTTGTAGGCCACCAGGCACATAATGACTTCATGGGCGTCACGGCGACCTGCATGTAGGCGGACAGGTCTAAGGGATAGAGTGCTGTGCTCTGTGTGTGTGTGTGTGTGTGTGTGTGTGTGTGTGTGTGTGTGTGTGTGTG